ATTTAACCTGAAATTGATGACATACTCTCCAGAGGAGGTTGCCCATCCCAATGGGAAGATGTCAACACCTCCAATGGAGAACTTAACGTGGTGGATGATGGCGGCGGTGGTGGTCTTGGCGACGGTGCCTCGTCGGGAAGTGACGGAGGTGGCGGTCTTGGCTACAGCGCCTCGCTGGAGAGTGGCGGTGATGCGATGGTGGTCTTGGCGACGATGACAGGTGCAGAGCGTATTATTGATGTCGGTGGTCTGGAGGCCTTGCTGCAAGAAATCATCGGAAGAGCCGAAGAGGTGCAGCGGTGCCTTTTATTTTTATTTCATTAAGGGTAGTTTTGTCTGATTACTTCTTTTTAGTCCCATTCTTATCAAATAAAACATAGGAGTCCTATTTTTGCAATTCTACATTGTTTTAGTCCTATTTGGATGAATCTCTCTAAATAGTTTGCTTAAGAGATGAAAAGCTGTCAGCAACCAAATCAAGAATAGAGTAATTAATCATGTGTAACATACAGGCTCAAGACTACTGATGGTTTGTAATACATATAAGTAATAGGTGTGATCTAAGATGTAAAACTTCCTTCTTTTGATCATAAATATTATATTTAAATATTAGTTAGATTTTTATTTTCAAATATGACAATATATTATATCCTTTTTTGTTGCAAATGAAATGAGCATTCATTCTTTACTTTTTATTTCGGGAAAATTATGCAAATGAGAGTGTTTATTTATGAAAAATATTATATCTAATGCAGACATTAATTTTAGCATGAGTCAATAAATAGACAATGTGACGACAATAAATATTTAGAGAAATAGTTGGGCTTTGAAAATTCAATGTAAACAACAACATCAAATACAAATATAACATATGTAAAAGATCAATAAATTCTATGACAATAAAGCTTATTGAATAATAACATCTATGAATGACTTATTCTTTGATCCTTGTTCATTGAAGATTCATAAAGTAGAATGGGAAAACAAAAAAACAGGTAGGTATAAACACTTGTGAAGTACAAAACTTCATACAAAACAAAAAATGTAGAACTGGAAACATCTACATTAAGAATTAGAAATAAATATAGGATTTCAGTAAGATTTCTTGTTGTGATCACTTTATTTGCACCATAAAGAACGCCAAGCAATGAGATGAAAATTCATCAATTGAAGGCATGCTCTCCATTTGAGTCTACCAAGTGGGCATGCCAAAGTAGATGGTTTTACATACAACTGATCTCATATGATGTGGAATGTCCCAATCTAATCCAGAATTAATAAAGTGCATCTTTTCATAGCATGGTAAGCCTTGATGGTGACCGATCATCGCAATCCCATTAATATAGATGAAATGCTCGAGTTCAATTACACGACATGAACATAGCTTCCGGAGGTTTTGTCAAAAATTTCAAACTCATGTGCGTGAAAGTGAGTATGCCAAAAAAAGTATCAGTAAATAACAGTATATTATGAAATAAAATAAAAAATAGTAAAGAAATAATCATTGTAAATAGATAAATAATTTACCAACATCATAGAGGATTGACATAGAAGGTATAATGTCTGGCCTCAAAATGCTTTGAGAGAATTTTTGCCAACTTGTCTTCCTGTAAGCAAAACAAACCTAAAAGTCTCACACACTTATTGGATGGAATAAAATGAAAGTGATAAGACATTGTTATTTGTGAATTTAAGAACTTTGGCTAAAATAGACAATATATAGACAGTAAGTAGCCGGTAAATAGACAATAAATTTCGATAATAGCATAATACGGAGCAGGTAACACAAAACATTATATATACATATCACTATTTTCAATAATGAAATTACCTCGAAAAGCCTTCGAAAAACTCCGCAATCAGTGGCGGAGCCACTTTAGTGCAAAAGTGTTCACTTGAACACCTAGTTTTTTGCAAAAAATGTTAGTATACATGTACTCCGTATAATTTTAGTTTAATTAGTTATTGTCTTTTTAAATTTTAGTTTTAGAAAAAATGAACACCCAAGTTTAAATGATAGATCCGCCACTGTCCGCAATGAGGCAACATACGTGGTCACAATATCCGATTGTAGAAGTCATGATGTCGAAAGGTATTCTGATTCCATGGTCGTCTCAGCACCAGATGTATAAGACAAGGGGTTTGAAAGTTTTTGAAATCACAGGGATGGGTAAGCCATGCCACTAGATCTCAATCTCGGAGTCGCCGGCCAGAGACACTTAAATCAACGCTAAATTGGGATGCGATGCGACGAAGGAGATAGAGGAGTCACGGAAGTTATTTTTTATTTTTAATCTGGAGTATTAAGGTGAAGGGTAAAAACAGAAAAAAAAATTAAAGTTTCCTAAAACAGTGTTTAATAAGTCCCACACATGGAAGAAACATAAATCAATCTTATTTTTGTAAAGTTCCTTTGAATTGATCATACGGGGAGCAATTTTCTCTACTTTGAAACAGGGAGGGGCAACACGGCAAGTGAAAAGGAAGAAGAAAAAGTAAAAATAGAATATTTACGTACTACTCCGGAAATTGTTTGTCTAGTAGTACGAATGTTTGCGTGACACTTTATTAAGTAGAATGAGTTAGAGGATAATCTTGCATTAGTATAAGGCAAATTAAAACATGAATTGTATTTTTGAACTTTCATTATGTTTTACTCCTATTTTGGGTAATTCCTTAAAATGATTTGATCACTTACTTTTTTATTCATCTTTTTATTTCATTTTATCATTATCATATATCCCACTAAGAGTCCGTTTGGTAACACTGTTATTCACCTTATCAGACTTATCATCCAACTTTTTCACCAAACACGTTTGATTTCGCGCGCTGAAATGTGTAATACGTAGTTATAAAAAAAGTAAGGTTGAAGTTACTTTTCTGACTGTTTCGGTTGAAGTTACCGTAGAGGACCATGCGCTAAAGATTATATGTTTACATACAATCTTTTCTTTATTTTATTAATAAAATATATTTTACATTTAATTTTTTCATAAATCAACAGAATAAGCCAATACAGCCACTTAAGTCAAAACTTCATAAATTTCAGCAGAATCATCCGATTCAGTGTTACCAAACAGGCTCTAAATTTGCTATGTATCATAATTAATAGTTTTTGAATGGTTGCAATTTACCACATTTTAAAATACTTCATCCGTTTCAAATTTAGTTGCAAAATTAGGTTTTTTTTGGCCATATAGATTCATTTTATTTACTTAATTAGGATATCAATTTTTAATTAAATTTTAGATTGAATTTTGCAACTTTGTAAGGATTTTAATTAATAAAATAGAATTAATTACCAATAGCAAGGATTTAACTTTAACATTAATTAACCCAAAAATGTTGACTTTATAATGAAGGTGGTATTATTTTATTCATAGTGTTGATATCAATCACACATCACTTATCCAACTCAAGTTTTCCCAACAATACTACAATAGGACCACACATTGTTGTCCTTGTTACGGATTATATTTTTTCAAAAATAAAAAAGTAGTTATAAATTAGATTGTAAAATCCTACGATCTATTACTCTAAAATAATCTGGTTATTAATAAATTATGGATACTTATTACTAAGAATTTTAAAAAATATAATTTAACTAGTATAGTAATAACTAAGAGTAGTAACTACTAACCCATATAGCTGTTATGTCTATTATTAGTACAATTAATACTACTACTATTATTATAATTATAGCATTATTAATATTATTATTAAATAATTAATTAAAAAAGAGGGTCCGAACTGGAATCGTCCGGTTTTGCATTCGGAATTGCCGGTTCAGCAACCGGAACTACCGATTCCGAATTTTGAGGAAACCGAACCGGACTAATAAACCTCTAGCTCCAAATCGGAAGTACTATGGGATTCCACACTTCCACTTACGGTTCAAATTATGGTTAAAAACTAGTGATTCCGTTTCCGATTCCGGTTTAACCGATATATGATAAAAAAGTCACGGAGTATAAGTTAAGAAAAATACTCCAATTGTCCATAAAATTCTTTTCACTTAAGTTTTCGTTGTCCCAAAAGAGAAAATTATCAAAATTGTACATGAAGTTGTTTCGAGTGGAGTAAGTAGTACTCCATGTTACACTTGAAACTACAAAATACATGAACTTGCACTTTTAAAGTCGATTTAGTACATTTGATTTGTTAGAACGTTAAAATAGTTGATTTCGCCAAAGTTTCAATTTGTAATATACCGTTGCAATCCAAGTTATCAAATAAGTAATTTATAAACTCTAAATTTCTCCGGCCAATCCACTCGTTTTCACCTCCGCTCTTCATCTTATATTTCTCACGTTTGCTCTCCTTTCTTTCCGCTCTTCTTCTTATATTTCTCTCATCTGCTCTCCCAGGGCGGAGCCAGGGCACTGGACCGGACTGGACCAATACAAAGAATATTTTTGGGAAAATATTACACATAAAGAGTAATTTTTACTTTAAAATTAAAATATTTTTTAAATTTGGGGTGGGTTAGGACCTAATTTGGCCCTGCTATAGCTTTGCCCCTAGTCGGGCAAATAAAAAAAAAGAAGTCGACAAAATAGCAGGTAGAGCAGACGGGAGAAATATAAAATATAGAGCAGAGAGATGGGAGAACAAACGATAAAAATATAAGATGAAGAACGAAGGTGAAAATGGGTGGACCGGAGGAAAAATAGAGTTTATAGATTAATTATTTGATGACTTGGACTGCAACTGTATAAAAACAAACAAATAGTTTGGCCAGATCAACTATTTTAATGTTCCCACAAAATAGATATACTTTAAAAATAAAAGTTCATGTACTTTAAATTTTCAAATGTACGATGAGGTACGATTTACGCCTTTCGAAACAATTTCATGTACCATTTTGACCATTTTTCTCATCCAAATCACATTTCTCTTTCTCATTTCCATTTTAAGCTACTTTTTGTGTGATTAACCACCATTCAGTCCAAAAGAATTGCTTTATATGTAAGTGGCGCTACTAGAATTTGTAGGCTATGATTGAACCATGAACTTTCCTCTAACGGCGGCGGCGGTTTTGGCTGCCACTTTTTTAGTCCTCGTTTTTATTCACAACATATTTTTCCGGCGTAGCAAAAATGCTGTTCCAAAAGTGCCGGCAGCCGGCTTCGCCTTGCCTATAATCGGCCATTTCCACCTCCTCGCCTCAAATGAGCGGCCAGCCCACAGAATCTTGGCGGACATGGCCGACAAATACGGCCCTATATTCCGGCTGAGGCTCGGCGCCCGCGAGCTCGTGGTGGTGAGCGACTCGCGGATCGCTAAAGAATGCCTCACCGTCCACGACGCCGCCCTCTCGGGCCGGCCAAAGGCGATTTCCTCGGAGCACTTCGGCTCCAACTACGCCAGCTTTGCGCTCGCCCCGGCCGGCCCGCTCTGGCGGGAAATCCGCAAGGTCGTTGTGCTGGAGCTGCTGTCCAACCGCTGTTCTGACGCGCTCAGGCGCGTCAGGGAATCGGCATCGGAAAAATTCGTACACGACATCTTCCGGGCCTGGTTGACGGCCCGGAAGAAAGATCTGTCCGAATCCGATGACGTTTTTGTGACACTTGACATGAAGGAGTGGTACTGGAAATTAGTGATGGGCGTATTGTTCGGGATACTCTTCGGGGAGATGCACGAGGAAGATTGGAGCGGGGCAGTGGCGACCGTGAAGAAATTCTTTAGCCTTATGGGTGCCCAGGTTGTGGGTGATTACCTGCCATGGCTGAGATGGATGGACATAGGAGGTTATGAGAAGGAGATGAAGGGGGCTGCCAAGGAGATGGACAATCTTATGGAGAGGCTGCTTCAGAAACACAAGAGTGAAAAAGGGGTGAAATCTAAGGAGGAAGAGGACTTCATGGATACATTGCTTTGCCATTTTGATTGTGGAAAAGAAACTGTGAATGGTTTTGATGCTGATACACTTGTCAAAGCAACTTGCACGGTACCTTTCACTTTTCCCCTTGCATAAATGGATGGAATACACATTTCAATCACAAAATTGTTTCTATGTTTTTTTAAACATCATCATTATTCGAGTACCACAAAAGCTCTCACCAATAGTGAGATAAGGGGATCGGATGCACGCAGCTTTACCACTGTACTGAAGCACAAAGAGACTTTTTCCGAATGATCCATAGTAAAAAACACACCGAAACTTCGTAACAAAAAAAGTGCAAACATTTCATAACATGAGCCCCACTATTGCTATGTTTTTTTTAAACATATGTGTAAAAAAAGTGTATAATGCAAGGGGATAAATATAAGGCTAAAGGTTCAAATAGGCTCTTGAACTAGCTTAAAGTGTTCAATTAGCCCCTTATATAGTAGGTTCTGCCCGGTCGTCTCCAATTGTGGAGGTTCCCGGTAGAATTTTATGATGAAATTTTTGAGCATCTTCTTCATTAAGTCCAGTTTACCCATACCAAATTTCAGCTAAAAATTCAATTGGGAAGGCAGTCAAATGATTTTTTGAAGATAACTGCGCAGTTAAATCATTTGATTGCCTTCCCGATTTAATTTTTAGCTGAAATTTGATATGGGTAAACTAGACTTAATGAAGAAGATGTTAAAAAAAATCATCAAAAAAATTCACCCAGAACCTCCCCAATTGGCGATAGTTGGACTGAACCTCCCATACAAGGGCTAATTGAACACTTTAAACTAGTTCAAGACATATTTTTGACCCTTTAGCCTAAATATAAATACACTACAACTAAGTTAATACCTTTTATGTGATTTTATATGCAAAAGTATTACTCCGTACTATGTTTTTCTTATCAATTTTTTAACAAAACGTACACACCTCTTACAATCATTGAACTCTTTGTGATGATTGAGAATCTCTTTTTCATTAGTACATCAATTTTAGTTTTCATGTTCGAATTTGTTGGGAGCAGGAACAGAGACAACTGCAAATTCGTTAACTTGGGCTTTGTCTTTAGTATTGAACAATGACAGTGTGCTAGAGAAGATCCAAGGTGAGCTTGATATGCATGTTGGGAAAGAAAGGCTTGTCAACCACTCTGATCTAAACAACTTGACTTATCTTCAGGCTGTGATTAAAGAAACATTCCGACTGCATCCACCAGCACCCGCCTTGTTACCCCATGAAGCTATACAAGATTGCATGATCAGCGACTACCGCATCGTGAAGGGCACGCGGTTATTGATAAATGTGTCAAAGATTCATCGCGATCCAAATTCTTGGCCAGATCCTGAGGCATTTGAACCAGATAGGTTCTTGACAAATGAGCACAAAGAAGTGGATGTGAGAGGGAAGCACTTTGAACTAATCCCTTTTGGAAGTGGAAGGAGAGTGTGTCCTGCAGTTTCTTTTGGACTTGAAAGTGTGCAATTGGGTTTAGCCAACGTTATTCATGGGTTTAATGTGAGAAGGCCTTCAGATGAGCCGATTGACATGACGGAATACGGTGGCCTATCTGGTGGAAAGGCAACTCCATTGCAAGTTCTCGTCACCCCACGATTACCTTCTCATATCTACCTTAATTTGAAACATGTAACTTGATAAATCAAAAGTTTGTGTATTACTTTTACACCGTGGGGTCAGGGAGAGGAGGGCTAGGGAAACCCCGAATTTCGAACCCGAGACCTCTCGTATGGGAGAGAGGAAGCAGCGATTAGCTGAGTTGGACCGTTTTTTTTCAAAAGTGTTTGTAACTTGATTTATAAGTTAACTAGAAATAAAATCCGATTTAATATGTAATTAAAGTTTATTTGTGAATGATATGGTGTATACCATGATGTATTAACTTGATTTATAAGTTAACTAGAAATGAAACCCGATTTAATATGTAATTAAAGCTAATTCGTGAAAATTAGGCCTTCCTCTGTTTTTTTAATTGCAACACTTTCATTTTCACGTTTTCAATTCACAACTTTGACCATTAATATATTTAATTCCCTAATTGTAAAAAATTTTTAAAAATCATACTTTAAAATTTTAAAATGAAAAGAATTTTATTTTATTTTTAAAAAGTTAAATTCTCAATGCATATGAAATGTAGTCAAAGTGAAGTGTGTGAATAGTGTAAAATTTCTATTGTTGCAACTATTTAATAGAGGTAGTATTATAGTCCGAAATTACTTTGAAATTTTCAGAGGCACACTCAAACAATCACACATTAATAGAACAACTTGTTACTCTACTAGAGCTTTGCACGGGAATGAAGTACATACATAAAAGTTGAGATGAATTATATAAAAGTAAAAAAACATAAATTGATAATGAATCAATTAATTTAATTAATAAAATAAAATATGAAGTAATGTTTCATAGAAAATAAAAAATGCTTGAAGTTAAATGTAACCATCATACGATAAAATAGTTGTATATGTATGTCTGTGATGCTATGAAGGGAAACTTCAAATTATTATTAACTTCTTTGTTTATAACATTCACCGCAAACTTTTTTGTTGTTCGTCTTCGTCAGATATCAAAAACTTCAAGCCATATGGACTTATTACTCTTGAGAACGTCATATATAATTAATCATGCGTAAAAGTAGGCTGACTAGGGAAGATGTAATCATTTTTCAATAGATATCCTCGTCTCTTATTAATGGTTATTGCATAGTTAATCATTAATGAAAACTGTCTGCGATGAAAAGTGAAGGGAAGTCTAACATCTAATGTTGTTAATGTAAGTTGAGGAATAACCAAATTTTCAACTGACATTTCCTCCATGCGTCATCTAAGCCTCAATAAAATGAGCTCCAAGTTTAATCAGGGCCGGCTTGAGGATAGTAGAGGCCGGCCCTAGGCAAAAAACACTAAATATTGAGCCTATCAAAATCTATTTTCAAGTACCAATTCATAGATCGGTCAAACGATTTTATAATCAAATCCCTACATATGTAAACATTATTTAATATTCTCTCTTGCATGTAACATAAATTTTCGTGTATTAGTCGTAACAAGACCTATCTATTTTTTAATAAATTCACAAATAAAACAATAACGCAAAGGATGAAATTAAAAAAATCACAAGCAAAATAAATGGCTTTTTAAGATCAAATTAAGTAAAACACCTACTTATAATTTTACAAATTAAACTGTTTGAGTATGTACTATTTTTTAAAATAGAGACAATTTTATACATCTTATACTACTTAACACATTGTTACAAACTTTGAAGTAAAGATATTTTCTTTTGGACCGAAATTTGCTAGTCTGGTCTAGTTTGATTTGGTCTAAACTGGTGTTGTTTGATCTGCTAAATTTCTGGTCTCTATGTATTTTATAACTAAGAAAGTCTAATCTGGTCTGGTCCAATGTGTTCTGGTCTGGGCTAGGACTAAAACCAATCCAAAAGAAACATTCTACCAACAAGAAATTAAAAGCCATAATGCCCATAAACAATAATAACAGCAAGGCAAGACAGCAACTTACAAGATATAATGGATGATGGATATGTCCTCTTTCCATTTTTACTTTTCGGAATTGAGGTACCAGACTATCACCGTTCTTTACATCCAACGAATTAACCAATCAGAAGAACCCAATATGCCTTGTGATTACTACGTAGAAATTTTTTAAAAGATGAGGCCCTCTATAGATATGAGGCCCTAGGCCAACTCCCCATATAGCCGGCTCTGAGTTTAATCACAAGTTTTATGTTGCTGCACAATCAAGATGAATGATTTAAATTCCTCATAAGCATCAAAGGAACCCTGAGTCATCAGTTTTAGCTTATGACTCGGCAAACCTTGAGATTTAATGCGATTAAGAAATTCAGGAGAATATATCCCATGTAAGACGTCACTATATGAGCTAGAATAGGAAGCTGAATCTGAGCTTAGGTAAATTTTTAACTATGAATCTATCAAACCCAACTTTTAATTGTTTATCTCATCAACTTCATTCATGGTTGGAGTAAGAATAACCATGGAATAAAAAAAATAAATTGGATTGCTCTAGAATAAGAAATTGCGAAAAATAGATTGAACAAATAGCAACTAACAGATGTATATGGTTGTCTAATGTAGCTAACAGATATACTCTCAGCTCAATTATCATACAATCTAGGTGAGCAATCATCCACAAAACTCGGTGTTGGTAAGAATTGAGTTTTTTCAGTTTTAAGTATCTTAAATCATAATATATGAAAAGGTTACATTTTTCAAGTCATATCGTACAAACACATATCTATAGTGATTGATATCCAGTAAATATCACTTTATTTAAAGAAAAAATAAATCAAGAGTTTAGGACAATATAAAATCAAAAATAGTTCTGAACATTTATCTTTTCGAATAAAATATGACAATATGAAATGATTGTTAGGCAATTACACAGCACTTGTCATCCATTAAAGCTTAGAGTGTCATTAAAGCTTAGAGTGTCATGTGGCCAGATGCAAATCGTATTCATTGAACCACTAAAACTTGTCATTTGAATTACGAAATGTGTTCTCTCCTAAAAATATGGAATTAAATAAGATTTCAATGATCTAGTCTCGTGTGAATGCTTTCTAGTTTATTATCCGATAACTATTGAACGGGGATAAGGGTCAATTTGGTCCTCGAAGTTGCAAAAAAGGGGTCAAATAAGTCCTTATATAGAAAATTCTGTCCGGAAGTAACATTTGAGGTGGCTCCCGGTAGAATTTTTTGATTATATTTTTTGAGCATCTTATTCATTAAGTCTAGTTTACTCATACCAAATTTTCAGATAAAATTTCAATCGGGAAGACATTCAAATGAATTCTTGAAGATGACTGTGCCGTTAAAAGCGCAGTAATCTTCAAGAATTCATTTGAATGTCTCCCCGATTGAATTTTTAGCTGAAATTTGGTATGAGTAAACTAGACTCAATGAATAAGATGCTCGAAAATGTTCATCAAAAAATTCTACCGGGAGCCACCTCAAATGGCACGTCCGGACAGAATCTTCTATATAAGGACTTATTTGACCCCTTTTTTGCAACTTCGAGGACCAAATTGACCCTTTATGTACCAATATAATTCTAAATAAAATATTTTCAAAACAAATAACAAAGCCTCACTAATAAAGTTACAAATTAAATTCTATCAATTTTTTGGTGAATAAGTTACATGTAATTAGTAGTTGCATATATGCACTAATACTATTATTTAAAAAAGTAATTCTAAATCATTGTCACCGTAATTTGAAAGACTAATACTCCCTCCGTCCAACTACATAAAGGTTCTCACGTAATTTATAAAGTTAACTAATCCATATCATTAATAATATTATATTATGTAAAATAAAACTTACAATTCAAACACTATATTAAAAGTTGGGAAAAGGGCCAAATAGACCCTCCTACTATCCCGAAACGGTCAACTAAACCCATCTACTTTAAAAAGGGTCACCACAGCTCCCCTACTCATAAAAAACGACCATTTACATCCAGGTGACCGAAAAACAACCTGCAGCTACCGGTGAATGCTTATGTGGACAACTATTTAGCCAAATGTGGAGTCTTTTACACGTCATTTAAGGTTTCTTCATAATGACTCTTTTTTTACAATTGTTCATCCTCTGTTGTGAAGTTCAGAGCTAGGGTTCTTAACCAACGACAAGTTCTTCGTCGCCCAGTGTAAAAGTTTGGCGCCTGAGATGTCTTCTACGTCCTTCGTCTCAAAAGTTAGAAAGATGGGTCCAAATCTTCATTACGAACCTCCAGTATACTGTAATTGCGGTTTGAAAGCACCTTTGTGCGTGATGAGAGAAACTGGGCGTATTAAGTTTTATTTTTTCATTTATCTAGGCTCCATCCAATTATCCTTTAATTAAACACAAGTATTGGTAGTATTTCAAAACTCAATTGGTGTTTAAATGACCTTCAAATGATAATTCAAAGTTTGAATTAATGTGTGCACTTTGAAAGAATTCATTCTAAATTAATGCAGGAAGGAGCAGGGTGTGGATACTTTGCTTGGAAAGAGGATATGGAAATTCAAAAACAGAGGAAATCCGATCCAGTGCATTGCTGTGAGGAGGTTGAGAAACTGATTTTGAAGTTAACATCTCAAGTAGATCATTTAAAAGCAGCATTGGAATCTGGAATTGAGGAAAACAAGAACATTAAGAGCATCCTAATAGCATTTGAAGTGTGTTATTTAATATGTAATGACTATGAAAGACATGTAATGTACCATTATTGTTGACCTTTGAAGTTTATTATCAAGTTTATGTCTTTTAAATGTGATGTGCAATTGCAAATGTGATGTGATCTAAGTTGGTATATGTTTGATATGTGAGACTGATCTTGCTCTAAAATGTGATGGGCACTTTGCTAGGATGGTTTTTTTAACGTACTTTGCTTGGATGGTTAAAAAGGCTAAAATGAGAGATGGGGCTGATGTTGCTATAAAATCAAATAATATGAGTGGTGTTGTGTGTATTAATTACAGAGATCAGCTACCCTTTGAAGAAGTTGCAGGCCAGTTTGGCATTTGTTGGCAGAGAGTGTGAAGGCCATAAACTAGAAGTAAAATGAAACAGTAGTAGGTTCCAGAAAAAAGATGCAGCTCTTTGAGGAGAAAATAAAGAGATAATAATACCTTATTATGTCCCTTGATGACGGGTACTACACAATTTGGACTTCAATTATTAATGTTTAGACTTAATTTGGTTCTGGACTAGGAAATATTCCTTTATTCTAAACAAGAATTTTTTCCCCATTTAAAGTTAGACCCACTTGACTCAATTTGATATGCAGTTTGAACCTATTTGGTCATCATGTATGCAACTATACTTCTTAATTAATTAGAGCAAATTAAAGATGCAGTGATTTTTTTTTAAAAGGACATAAATGACATAAAGGCTAACTCAGAGGACTGTAATTCAAAACCAACTATTTTCGTTTATATCCTCTAGATAATTTCCTTACCATGAAGCAAAAGTTATTCTCCTTAGTTGAGTTTTTCTTCATATTTAGGCTATTATTATCACACAGACTAATGCTTTTCAAACAGTAAACACTTTTAATATGAATAATTTTTAATATAATTTCCAGCCCAGCAGGTTTTACTAGTCTTAATACTTTTACTAGCAAAAGCTAGGGCTGGTTGGGACCAAAAATATAAATAAACTTGAACACACAACAGCTTTGATCTCCCTGCCTTCCCTGGTTCCTTCACAGGTTGAACAACAAGTTTGCAAATGCACCATATAAAATTAACATACGACAATCAATACATGGCAAATACATATTACAAAAAGGCCATTATATGAACAATAGCTATGGCAATGTACTGCTATTTTATCATTGTATTGCTAGTCTAACATCCTGCTTGAACTCTAGTCGAACATCCTGCTTGAACTCTAAGAGGCTCGTTTTTAATCCATCTTACATCCTTTTTATTCATCACTGCATACTTGATCAAGGCACTTTTAAATTGTTTCCCGTCATCAAATAACATTCCGACCTCCAGCTCCTGTGATTCACATTTAGGATCATAAGATGGCTTCTTCAATGTCTTCTTCCGTTTGGGATGTTCCTCGGAAACACAGTCCTCTTCTTCAGAGTCGGCTACAGAACAAGAGGGGTCATCAGAGTCATTATAAACGCTGCAATCGTCATCGTCCCCACATTCAGTGTCCAAATCTGCCCTATTTGAGTTGTTCTTTACCCAACCCAGATCTTCACTGTCACACTGCATCACTGGAGTTCTATCTCTGTCCACTTCTCCATTTTCCTCTTGAAGTACAGATGTTTCCTCTGATTCAACCGGCACATATCTGTACACTTCTCCATTTTCCTCTTGAAATTTCCGCCATCATGTATTCTCAATTCTGCTACTTCATACATTCTGAAATAAAGTAATACAATTGAAAATGGTAAGGCATTTTATTTAAACATAAAATAAATACAAACCAAGGAAAATATATTCATACTTTCCACTACATTTAAGGTATTATGAATTCAACTATCAAGGAGGTTTTACTCAGGAAGTACAATTCACAGTTTTACTGAGCAGTTGTATTTTTAAATTATGGAATGATGTAGTCAGATGATATGGTCAATTCACATACAAAAGGTGATAGTCTGGTTGGTCAGATGATATAGTTTTACCACCTCATCCGCCTCTTGAATATGATTCGGTTGTTTCTGGGAAATTAAATTGACCATATCATCTGAAAATAGACACCAGACAAAAGGTTGAATAATAATATAAAGTACCTTTTTTATTACATGAAAGGAGTCTTTCTTTAGCCCCTCTTATCAGGATCGAAGTTGGAACTCTAAAAAAATGATCTTGGAGACACCAATGACGACGCCAGGAATGAAGATGGTCACTTACCTGAGTTCGTGAAGATGGTCGCTCTGCTCTATTCTAGATGCGGATAGTCTCCTTCTTCACGGTCATGAATGGTTTCTTTGGACTTTCTGGCAAATGACCAGACATGGGAGATCAATTGGGAAGTAAGGTCAAGAGAACCCTAATTTTGGATTGCAAGCTGATGAACGAAAATAATTTCCCCTGTAACTTCGGTTAGATGCAACCGGGGCTGACGTGGAAAAAATTCCACATTTGGCAATTCCACCGGTCCACATCAGATTTAACCGAGAAGCTTGGGTTGCCTTTCGGTCACCTGGACCTATTAGATTCTTTACAAATACTATGTGTGTTAATGTGACCCTTTTTAAAGTAGATGGGTTTAGTTGATGGTTTCAGGCAGTGTTCTAAAAGGCTTGAAAAAGCGCCGCCTAGGCGGGCCTAAGCGCAGGGCGTGATCCAAACGCCCCGCTTCACCTAAACGCGTGATCAAAGGCTGGCGGCCCACAAGAGCGGCCCAAAAAATTGACTAGCAAGCTCCTAGGCAGCCGTCCAAAACAACGAAGACTACCGCCTATCAAACAATAAGAGAAGAGCTCTAATTTATAGCAATGTTGGAATGTCAAATGTTAACTACATCCGGTGTGGGAAATGAATTAGTACTTGGCCGTGCAGTAGACTTGGAACAATAGGATGTTGCAATCACAATTGCTAATCAAACTTGCTCAAATTGTACAAATTACAATCTAGTCTTTTAATCATCAACATTATTATTGTTACATTATTATTATTAGATAGAAATTTTTACTTATTAATAACTAATATAAAAAATGTTTAACGGAAGGAAAAATTAATTAAAGTGTCCCAAACTTTGAAAGGGTGTGAGATGACATCCCAAACTTGCATATGTAATTTAAATATCCCAAAATTTATATAAAAAATTATTTTTGCACCATAATTAAGTATTTTTAAAGACAAAAGTGTAGCAAACTTTCAAATACATCCCAAGAAAGAAAGTGTGGCAAACTTCTTAAATACGGATGAATGATAATGTTAGAAGTATTTAACTTACATATGTACTTTAAATATCCCAAAATTTATATAAAAAATTGTTTTTGCACCATAATTAAGTATTTTTAAAGACAAAAGTGTAGCAAACTTTCAAATACATCCCAAGAAAGAAAGTGTGGCAAACTTCTTAAATACGGATGAATGATAATGTTTGAAATATTTAACTTACATATGCAAGTTTGGAGTGTTTATCTCACACCCTTCAAAGTTTGTGGTATTTTTATTATTTTTTCTCATGAATTTAAGTGTAGTAACTTTAGTCGTAGTAACTTATATTCAGTTTTTACATTTAAGTGACATGACATAATAATAAAATAACATGTAGTCATATTTTTATAAATAAGTTTTACTTAAGTAATATTTTTTTAAAAAAAAACTCTTTATCATCATTATTATTATTATTTTAAACCTCTTACTTCAATTATTTTATTATTCAACTAGTTTTTCAGCCTTCGTGGCTATATCAATGTTTCACTATGTCTCTTTTTTTATACTCCATCTGTCCCGAAAAGGTTTGCCAAATTTCCTTTTTTTGGATGTCCCAAAAAGATTTGTCATTTTCATTTAAAGTAAAGAATATGTGGCTAAAGTTAATTATCTCTTTTCTGCACAAATTTCAACCACACAATTTTTACTTTAATAATCCACGTGAAAGTCAAAGTTGGCGAACCTTTTCGGGATAGAGGGAGTATATAAATTTATAAATTGTAAAACTTTAGTATTTTTTTGTAGGAAAATTAAAATATGATATTTTTGTATGATATTATCACACATCACATTTATATAAATACTGATATCTCTAGAAAATTAAATAAAAGAGTAAAAATTACACACGCCTTTTCTCGCCTAATCCCCGCCTAAGCCCGCCTAGGCTCCAAAGGCTTAAGCCTTGGACGTGCCGCCTCGGCACGCCTTACGCCTTTTAGAACATTGGTTTCAGGATAGTATGAGGTCCTATTTGGCCCTTTTCTCTTAAAAGTTTTATAATACCTGATTAAGAAAATTAAATCTGATAAAAGTTAGATATATAAAGTACGGAGTAAAAGATTAAGAACAATTCACATTCACCGGAGAATAGTAGTCGAAAACTTTTCAATGAGACGGAGGGTGTATTATTATTTAAAAGACTAATTTTAAATTAAAAACTAAAAGACTTGCACCACTCTCAAATATGACTTCTTTATCTTTTAAAAGAGCCAGTACTGGACAATACATATCAATGTGAAGTTGGGCACTGGTCATAAAAATGACCAAAAGACAACTTGATCAAATGAACTAATAAATCTAATCTAAAAACATTATATTTGTGAACAAAGGTTTGTACCTTTCAATTATGTCAATACTATACATTGTATGCATAAGAGATTGTACATTGATTTTAAAAGTTTTTACTCTACTTTTCACATTGACTTATGTACCCGTACTCCATTAAAACATCTATCACTTCCGTTAAATGACTTTTACACCAATAGCAAATCCTAGAGATGACGTTGAAACAAATTATATAAATGAGATGATAGATGCATTTTATTTGCCCAATCATATTATGCAATTTATGCACTTGTTATTTATGAAACAATATAAAAAATCAAACAAATACACTGAGATCTAATAAACTCTTCAGAGCTGAGATTCGATGTTAGGAGAAGCTCTTCTTTGATTAAAATCACTAAATCTTAAAAAAGTGAAAAACCAAAAACACTGAAAGCACTTACTTCATAAAGTGAAAAACTTAAAACACTAAAAACTTAAAACCGTAAAACACTTGCACTAAAAACACTTGCTTCATGAGACTAAAATCACTAAATCTTAGAAAACTGAAAAACCAAAAACACTTGTTTTTTCATACGAGGCACAATTACTTCATAAAGTGTGATTAATCTATGAAACCATTTTCGGTTTATACCACAATTACTTAGTTGTATAAAGATCCTTAAAATCACTAACTTTAATGCTAAGATTTTCTGTCCACGTATGATTATACACAAAAAAAGTGTATAAAGTGTAGCATTTTGGGAGTGTAAAATGTACTACGTAGCATAAAGTGTAGCATTTTGGGATATAACCATCTGAAGATGGATGAATACATCTTAGTTGCACTTTGTGAAAATGGATGGAAAATGGTCATATACATCCACAGATGCTACAAAAATGCTACAAAATCACGAACTGTTAACGCAAGAGTAATAGGATGGCGACAGGAACTTGTTGTACTTGTAGTGCGCTTTTTGTAAAATCTGTGATTTTGTTGATCAAGCAATTGAAAGTGAGCCAATAAGATGCAGTCCAGTCCAAATCATAAAAATAGCACCTAGACAAATAAACCATTCAAAAAAAGATATATTTAAACCGGTATTCTTAACTCGAAATGCTAAACCATGTCATTGTGAAATCAATTTTTTGCTCAATGGGTCATACACTCATACTTAACACCCTAGTGTTCTGCATTTCGTTAATATAAAAAGATTAAATTGAAATTTTAGTATATAAATTAAGTACAAAATTAGAAGAGTATTGAAAACTTTGGGGAAATATGAGCCTAAAAACATATGCATGTGCTTTTTTTACATCAGTTTGACTTAAGTCTTTGTTGTTCCTTGATCAAAGTAATACTCAATTGGTCAAATTTTGGAGTAGAAAAATGGGTAGGTGTCAAACTGAATTTAGCTGATTCTGTCTTCTTTCAGAAGAACAGAAGAACTAAATTAGACTAAGGAAATGTCTTGGTAATACAATTGTTCATTCGATTGGTGTGTATGCACATAATTGGCTGGACATGATTCTAGATAAACGCTTTATAGTGCATTTCTGTTTGGTATGCATCAAACACTATGAATCCAAGGAGTTACATGATGATCTTCAAACCAAAAAACCACATTAGGAAACAAAATTGTTTAGAAACCAAACGACTAAAAATTTAAAACATTGGACATAAAAACTTAAAAGTAAACCAAATGTTCTTGAGTTGGCAAGTTTGAATATATAAATCAAACTAAACATTTGAAACCATTTTAAAGTTAAAAGATTTAAGAGGCTAGATTGTTCTGTTTTAACAAATTGATAAAAGGTCGAGTTTTAAAAGATAAACCAAAAAATATTTTCATTTTAAAATGGGAAAACTATCAAATAAGCCCCTGTACTATATCGAAAAACTCAATTAGGCCCTCGTACTTTACAAACACTCAATTAAGTCCTCGAACTATTAAAAAAACGTTCAATTAAGCCCTTTCGGTCGGTAAGTAACCGGTTTCCCGGTTAAATGTAACCCGTTTCCCGGCAGCCGCCGTTGTTGGGGTTCGAGCACATCGTCGCCGTCGTCGTCGTTTAACCGGTAAACCGGTTACTTACCGACCAAAAGGGCTTCATTGAACTTTTTTTTAATAATTCGAGGACTTAATTGAGTGTTTGTTAGTGTGTGTGTGTGTCTGTTAGTGTGTGTGTGTGTGTGTGTTAGTGTGGTCCGTTAGGGTATTGGACACACACACACACTAAATCTAATAGGCCGGGCTTATCGGCCCGAGGCCCCAAACAGGCCTATACCGTAACCCAAGTCCGCCCATATGTTATTGCGGGTCAGGCATAATAAGTCTTTGCTCTTATCCTCGTTAGGCAACCATTTTGCATGGAAGGTTGAGGTTTCAAACAGTTTTTCGACCTACTACCTCTTTTGCCTGCACGTGAGCACTCTGCTACAAACGCGATCAAGTTCCCTTCTTTATCCTTCTTTGAAGTGCGGTGTCTAACAGGAAAGCCAACACTTTTGGCATACTTTTTGTAGAAGTCATAAAGTGCATCTTTTGTAGGAAACTCCATGCCTGTCTCTGGAATGTGTTCACATTCATCACCAATGTTATCTCCATCTGTTCACATAATCAAATAATTATTTTACCTTAACTCATTCATAGACAGGACAATAATCTTTGTAGGTATACATGATAGTAGTAGGGTATATATAAATAATATACATTAAAATAGTGTATGAATGTTTTCATCAATTTTTCATAAAATGTTGGATGAAATATATATTTAGTCCACCAACTACTATATGGAAATGTGGCTGTATTTTTATAACTATGTGATTCTTAAATGGCCTACCTATATTTCTCACTTAAAT